TCTTTAAGCAATATAGTCGTTATCCGAGAGGAATCTTAAGCCCGCTTCACTTGGCCCCAACGCCAGAGGCTAAGGAGAAAGAGCGCGCGAACGGTAATTAAAGATTAGTCAGTAATACAAACCTGTTAACTTCTGAAGCAAGAAACCAAATTAGAAAAGTTTGGCTATTTTGCAGCGAGGTTGGCGTTGTTAGGGTTTGTGGTTCAACACAATGTGACTGGAAAAATGCGCATTGACTCGTCGAATGGCTCAGCCAAAAGCTTCACCGTTGAGTCCATCTCTTCGGATCGAACACACATCGATCCGGATTCAAGCTCTTGGAACCCACACCGTCAAGTTTCTGTGACTGAAGAAGATTGGGAAGGATGAGGGAAAGCAAATCTTGGAGCGGTGAGAAGATCTAAACGAATATAGTAATGAGTATCAACAGAGAAGAAGAGGAGAGACCAAATTCGTGGATTGGCTCAGTTTAAGAAAATCAACAGAGAAAGCAAGTGAGATGCTTACGACCGCCTCGAGTTTCTGTTTTGCATAACCTATGTTTTCTTTTTACGTCGTTTTTTGTAATAGGAAATTCCAAACGAAAATTAACATCTCACTTGCCCTCTTCTTAAAAGTTTTACCAGCCAATTCAAGGTTTGGACAACAGTGTTCTCAAATGGTACAAATCGTGGTCAATGAGCTCAAGCCTCTGTTTAATTGAAAATCCTCTAGCGAATTGGAATCAGTTATTTAATAAATAAATAAAATTCGTGACAAAACATTAAAATCTAGTATGTTGTTACATTCTAATACCGTATCTTTTCTTGTATCAAATCTTGTTACATATTTGATTATATATATTTTCTTCCTACGAAGATAATCCAAGACTCTTGTGGAATATTCATCATAATCCCAATCTGAATTAACCTTGTGGAATCCTAATTCCATCGTTGAGTATATATATACATTACCTAATGAAAAAGATCCTACGTTTCTTTATTTTCCCATAAAAAAATTATCCTAAGTTTGGGAAATCCTAGCTAGAATCAGACAATTATGGAGTCGGAGTTGTGGCTGAAGGTTTCTCTTTTGGTGATCTTGATGATATTATACTTAATTTCGTTGTTTGTTCTGTACGTAGATTATAAATTACTTGTAATAAAGGAACAAAGATCATCGTCGGAAGCCAAGAACTGCGTATGCAGCTGCAATCACTGTCCGGACTATCATGCGAAAGCACTTAGCAAATCCAAGCCAGGTGCAAGCATATCACAACCATCTAAGGATTAACCATAGATTCTTTGTTTCATAAGTTTGCTAGATATTTTCGTTTAAGACTTCGTTGACTGGTGTTGATAATAAAGCTTTGAGTGGCACCGTCTATTTTAGACCTTTTTCTTCTTCAATCTT